TCTAATGTGTAGAATTTTTTTAAATTAAATGCAGTTATAAACTTGTTATTGCTTGCATTTCATAATCTGTTATTAAACAAACATTGCAGATTTTGTAAAATGGTACATGTGTTGATGCTCCTTGCTCAATTAACTCTACTTCTTAGTCAAGTTATTATTACTAAATTATTTTTGTTTGTTCATTTATTTATATCCCGCCTGAGTTATTTTCATAAATAACTCAAGGTGGCAAACATACATAATCTTTGTCCTATTTTCCACCCAACAACAAATCTGCTAAATTGGTTGGGCTGAAAATGACTGACTCAAAATCATCCACCTGGCTTTCATGCCTAAAGCAGAACTAGAACTCACAGTCTCCTAAGTGTTGTTGGACTGTGAAACTGAAAATAAATGAACACTTCTAATGAATATTACACTTTCTTCACTCCCCATCAAATTTATTAAATAAATATGTAAATAAAGTATTTAAAAGGCACTTTACCATTTGTATCTTGTCCTTCAAAATAATATACGATAGTTTGAAATGATTTGCGTACTGAAACAATTTAGTTTCAAAATCAAGGTAGTAGGAAAAGATTTATTGTGAAGTGGAACTTTTGAAGAAAATTCCAGAGAAACAAATGTGCAATTGAGGAATAGAAAGAGCTTAAGACACAAAAGTTGAAGGTAAAGAGATGAAGAGAGTATATAAAAGCAAAACTTGTAGACAAGCCTGTTTTTCAGGAAGTTAGCATTTTGAATAAGAAAACAAAAATCTAGAAGATTTTTAGATTAACTATCATTTAAAAACTTCTCTCTTCATAAATTACATAAGGACATTGATGACATTTTAGAAACAAGTATAGCTGCATGCTGTTCACTATTGCTGAAGCTGTTCTGTTTTTGTTGTTACCAAGTTGTAATTTTTTTCAACTTTTTCAGGAAAATAAAAATAATACAGAACATACTATTGTTTGGCATATACAATATAGTTTTGTTTAGATTCTTAAGTTCTTAAGTTTTATCCTGAATTATAGAGATACATATAAGTGGAATGTTGGATTATTCGTGGGAATATTAGCAAGCAGGTTTCAGGAATTTGTGTCAAACATCTTTTTTGAATCTTTCTTTATTAAAAAGGAGATCTTTTCTTTGCTATCACTTTTGAAAATTGAAGGATAGAGACTGCTGAAATGATGTCAGTGATGTTATAAAAAGTGGCATGTGGCATTATTCAAACAAAACATTAAGTTCAGGTAGCTGAATGTTTCATTTAACATTCAGTTACCTGAACTTAATGTTTTGTTTGAACACTGCCACACACCACTTGTTATAACCTCACTGACATCATTTCAGCAGTCTGCTTTTTTTATCTTTATATTTATTGTGGGAGAGGATTGCTTCCCATGAAGTGATCATAAAGTATATATAACACCAATGACATTCAATCCATCCATCTTGTGGTTTAAGGATCTAAAATAAGTATCGCTATAATGTCTCTCTCCACTTTAAGAAAGATTTTTTTTGGTTCTAACGTAATAGCATTCAGCTTGGTCAATGGGAACAGGAGACAAAGCTCAACATAGTTGTTGAAAAAATATCAATATGTTCAAATGAACAAAAGCATAATTCAGAACATTAGAGAATACCAAATTTGTAGGCTAGACAAGGAAATGAAAAGAATGATCAAGGAAAATAATGGCAAATTACTCCAATAGTGTTGCCAAGAATACAGCATGGTTATGTTTTTCTAGTCACCAGAAGTCAAACTTAACTCAAGCGTATCAGTATTGTTTTATGCCGTGTATATTTATAGTGTACTGAGCATTTTCTTCTCTGTTGATTGAAACAAGAGACTATTTGAATAATTAATTTGATTAATATCTTTTAGGTTGTAGAAAATGTTTTCAAAGTGAATCCAGTGCTGGGCCCTGAAATGTTTCAACCTCTTTTGCCATCTGTGGTTCGTGGAATTATACAGGGGGAGGTAAGGGCCTCTTAGCCATAATGTGTTTCTTAGTTAAAAATTAAAAAATGAGGAACTACTCAAAATTTTCAAATACTTCCTGTATAAATTTATATTCAGTGTTAATTACTGCTAACTTCATTTTTTTCTTTTCTATTACTATGACAAAGTCAGTTTCAGTATTTATGGTGGTTTATAGATTGTCTCTATATACTGGTATTATAACAATACTTTTTTATTACTTTTAAAATCAGAGTTAAATATGTAGTGCAAATTTATAGAACTAGTGTATTGCCATTTCTAGATCTTTTAAAAAGTTTTCTCACTTCAAATAGCTGGTATTTGATAATGGGAAGTATTACAATAACAATATTTAACACTTTTTCATCCACTTGTATCATTTCACAATACTGTTCCATAAAATTTTTGCTCTGAAGAGTGTTGCCATTGAAAATAACAACAATGAGCTACTTGTTTCTAATTAATAGCACGTTTTAAAGCAAATCCCTCCAACTCACAGATAACTATAATATAATAAAAAAACACCTTGTTTTTAAAGAATTGTAAAATCTTTGGCTCCTTTGCTCACTTATTGAACTCATTGGTATTTATTTTGAGCAGGCATTCATAGAATTGTCATTGTAAATTCTTGGAAAGGATGGGAGCCAGAGAAATAATAAAATTCATTTCTACTTGATATTCTCATAAGTACTTATTTGAGGTTTTCTCATATGGTTGTACCTTACTAATGCCCATGTATAGTAAATATACAGTGCTGCAAAATTGATAATGCAGTAGGATATGTGGAATGCCCTTATTTAATCAGTCTAGCATGCTTTTATCATGTTCATACTTCCTCACTGACAGGAAAGCTCAAATGAACTGTTTATATTTCAGAGATACCCAGTTGAGATGTCAACTTACCTGGGAGTCATTGGTAGAGTCTTGTTGCAAAATAAAAGTTTTTTCTCATTGCTCCTAAACCAGATGGCTTGTGAGTTTAACCAAGAAGTAAGTGGTTTGTGTTTTATGCCTTTTGTGTATGAAAGACGTACATTGACCAACTTTTAAATTACTCCTGTCAGAGCAATTTTTTTCTTGGCACTGGAAGTCTTTTTTCTTCTTCAGTATAATGCATTTGAGCTAATATTTACCTTGTTAATTGAAGTTAGAGGAGTTTTGAGCAATTTATTATCTTCACTGATTCATTTTCTTCTTCTTTTGGTCACTTTTTAAATGTTTGTTGCCTTAGTCATAAATATGATACATTACCTTCTCTTTTTTTCCTTTGCACTTTTGCACTTTTTATTCTTTTTAAAGTTTAATTTATATTAGATATTACAACTATAATAATTTTTAAATATTTTTATGTGTGTTTGTATGTGTGTGTATACCTTTTTAGAGGATTTTTTTACTTTGACATTATTCAGTGGCTTTTCATTTAATCTAATAAAAAAGCAAGGTATATAGATCTTGGATAGCATGACTTCTTGGCTCATTATTTATTTAGGACCAGAGGAAGTTAGTGGCGAACTAAATCAGAACATTTAAAAAAAATTACAATCACAATAGTTGGAGTTCTACCTGTCCCCTGATTCCCTCCATCCCATTCTGGCTTTGATCCAGATGGAAGACTATTTGCCCCAGCTGATTTCTTAATGAACAACTTCAATGTCTCATTTCAAAAATCTTTCATTAATTTTTCATTATTAGCTCATGATAATTTTTACAGATCTTCTAGTAAATCATTTTAGCAACTGTATTATGTCATTTATAATCAATTTTTGTGATCTTGCATGAACTGATCTACTGTTTCTTCTACTTCTTTGCACCAATCTGAACTTTGAATCATTTGATGATTTTTTCAATCATCAAATCATTTTGATTGCATTAGTTGAAATAACTTGCTCCTTGGTAGCCAAAATCGATCCAATGTTTTTAATGTTGTAAGCTATTTTTAATGTTGTAAATAAACCATTTTATCTTTATTCATTTTCCCCTCAGTCTTTGGTAGAAATTGACAGTGTAATGTTTTTCTTGCCAGCATTCTTTTTGTGTTTTTATTACATTATTTTTTATATTTACTTTGTTTTTCCTTTACATTTAGTAAGTTCCAACTTCTAATTGCATCAGTGCTTGTTCTTGACTGTCTTTTGCAAAATCATCCAACACACTTTTCTTTAAAAAATCAATCTCTGTTTACCCAAGACTAATTCTATCTTTCGCTGGTTCATTATTTTTTTCTACTGTATAAACAGTGAAATGATTTTACTGTTTCCAAATATTTAATGATCCAACTATGTGGTAATGAATCAAACACCCTTTTTATACTCAATCAAGATTATATGTACTGGTAGATTGATGTTTGCAATTTGTCAGAACTGTTTTGTCACTTAGATATTGATATTTTGTACCTCTGCTTTTCCTTTTATTTCCTTTTCTACTGGAAGGATGTTTTTTTTCTTATAAATACACTGTGTACACAATTATTAGGCAAGCTGTTTATTATTGAACAACTACAGTGGGCTTAAATTAATTGAATGTATTAAAAAAGTATCTCAAAACAGTCATTTTCTGTGAAATGTTTAGTCATTAAATAATAACAAATTAGTTAATTTATTTAATGCTTCTATCCAAGGAAATTCACTTTATTCTGCAAGAATAATTTAGAAGATAAATCCTGTTTAGCAATTATGATTAAAGAAATAGCATCAGATATCAGGCTTTGCTTTTAAGAGATTTTAAAAATGATTTTAGAAGGGATTATGGTAATATGTAGCTTCAAAAATATATACTTCATTAAATATATGTTGACACATTAATTTTTATTTTAAATTTAGATCTCATATATAGTTTATTTTCACATATGCCATACATAGTCCCCAGCCATATGCATGTTTTATTTATAGTATTCAAAATTATTGTTTTGTATTTTAGAATACAAATTAGTTGATTATTCTGTTGGCAGAATAACAAAAACTTTAGAATATAAAATTATATTTGTTCATTTTATTGCAAATAGCTAGGCTGTTTATCTTGCTTTTGAATGAGATTTTTACTTTATTTTTCTCTAGCCAGACCATCTCCTTGGTCACATAATTGAAATGTGGATTGATCGCATGGATAATATAACACAGCCAGAGAGAAGAAAGCTTTCAGCTTTGGCTCTGCTTTCACTACTGCCAACAGACAATAGGTAAGCAGCACTTTAGATTTATTGGCTACAGTGAGCAGTCAGCCTTGTTAAAGTGCAACTTTCATTTTTGAATTTTCCTTGATTCAAATCCTCATAAATTTGTTCTCCTATAAGGTTAAATATACATCCTTTTAGGTTCCTATATAAAGTTATTTGCACAGTGCTTTGGATTCTGGCTCCTGACTGATAGTGATATGTTTTGTTTTGTTTTTGGCCATAGGAATAAACAGTTAAACAAATTAATTCAAAACAAACTGAAAACTACTGAAACTCCACTGAGATTATGGATGCTTCTGTTGAGCTTAAGAAAAATAACTTCTTAACATTTTTATTATTGTAGTACAAGTAATCTTTGAGTTATGAATGTAATGGAGCCTGCCCATTACATTCATAACTCGAGGATTGTAGGAGTACATCATGTAACTTGAATGTGATCACTCCCTGTTTTCGCCCATGGCATTTGCTAATCGAATGTGTGGGTCATTAAATGCAAAAGATAACTCAGGGTGGAGAAGGTCATGGGGGTCTTGTGATGGAATAGGCTAGCCAAGGCCTCCTCGACCACTGAGATATCTCATGCTTCCCACCCTCCCATCCTGCTGTGCTGAACTCACCTTGCAAAGATCTGTCTCCTTTCTGCTACTGTTTTTTTGTTTTGTTTTGTTTTGTCTTTGAGGGAGAGGTGAGCAGGATGATTTCATTCCCAGCATCCAGTTGGCTTGCAAATGCTTTTCACGCTAAGAGTATAATGTTTGGGGGGGGGCGTGATCTTGTGTGACTTCAGGCAGCCATTCTCTGCAAAAGCGGATGACTGGCTGAAGTCATACGATATCACAGCCCACCAGAACATTTCACTCCCAGTGTGAAAAACATTTGCAAACTAATTGGACTCTGGAAGCAACACAGTTTTGCTCCCAGCGTCTGATTGGTTTGCAAATGCTTTTCACACTGAGAGTGAAATGTTCTGGGGGCAGGGAATCTTGCATGACTTCAGGTACCCATTCTTTGCAAAAGCAAACGGGTCCCTGAAGTCGCGCGAAATCATGGCCCCCAAAACATTTCACTCTCAGTTTGAAAAGCATTTGTAAGCTGAACAGATGCTGGGAGCAAAATCGTCCTGCTTTCCTCTCCCTCAAAGGCAAAGAAACCGCAGCAGAGAGGAAGTGAGTCCAGCACATTCTGGTGGAAATAAAGGAAATATACACTGCTCAAAAAAATAAAAGAATACTTAAACAACACAATGTCAGTCACACTTCTGTGAAATCAAACTGTCCACTTAGGTAGCAACACTGATTGACAATCAATGTCACATGCTGTTGTGCAAATGGA